GATAGAACAGAAAAAACCTATTGCATAGGAACCAACGAGGCCTCACAACCGTCAGGTGGGCAAATGTCTATCCAGCATTCTCAAAGACAACAAGGTTGTCGTATGACAAGAAATAGCTGCGGAACAAGTTGAACAAGATGAAGCGGGCATACTTTACTTGGCACGACCTTCAAACTCACACTGGCCTACGCTGTGACCCGAATACAGGAGGCATCACAGTTGACCCCTCGTTCTTTGAGGGTGGCAACGGGGTACTAATTTCCACCCAATTTCTTTCTAACCCCCTAACTACCCAGTACTAGGCATGTTCCCATTCTACTGATTCTAACCTGTGGATCCATGGCACACGTGCAAGAAAATAGCAAATCTGCTATGGAGCGGACCAAAATTCCCAAATGCCTTGACCTACTGATCACTCTTTGGGGACACACACCTCGCGACAGGGGTTCGTTGCTGTCTTCTGGTGGCCATCATCGCGAGAGGACACCCAGTAATGCCAGCCATGGTAGTCCACACAACATGTCACCGGACCCCATAGGTGTCCATAGTGGTGGTCAGTCCTCCAAGAGATCCACTAGGGATTACTCTGTGAACAGCCCTACTAGTAAGAAGAGTGCTTCCATTGATGACTGCCTTAATGACGTAATCAACATCATTAAAGACCATAAGTTGCAAAAGGCTCGTATCAACAAGCAGGAAGAGGAGATGGACAAAGTGGTAAAGATTATGAAAGAAGATGGTTTGCAAGAGTCTGATGCTATTTATGCTCATGCTTTAATTATTTGCACGAACACACCGCACCGTAGGAACTTCCTGAGCATGGAAACAAAAGAGGGCCGCCTCAACTTTCTGCAGATCTGCTGGGAGGATAGGAGATCTAGATCCAAGTAGATGTTATCCGAACAAGCGCTCCAACTATGGCAGTCTATGTAGTTTTATTTTTCAAAACATGCATGTTGAGTTCTATTATAACATTGAGAATATTTGTTTAAGTTCCATCGTTGTAATGTGGCCTATGGCCTGAACATTGTGTGCTATTTTTTCCAAGTATCCAAATAAAATGTGTTCTATGATGTAAATATCTTTGTTCAGGACGAGGTAGCTGTTGCAGCCATCACCGAGTCGTAAGGTACGAATCCTTATCTACATTTGTGTGCACATAGATAGTATATGCTCATTGCTTCCTAACTTGCTTTTAATGCATGTTGTAGGTTCATCTACAATTGCAAACTACTGATCACTATTAATTGGTGTTCTAGGTTTAGCTCACATTTTATCCTTCAATGGGACGTAAACAAGAGAAGACTCTATTATTGTAGTATTGAAACCTGCAGACCCTTCATCTGGACCCAACCAATTTCAAGGTTCATATTTGATACTCCATTAACTCATTTCTTTAGAAACCAGTCATCTAAATTTTGGACTGAATTTAAATTTTTGCAGATGAGCACCTCTGAGGACTCCGACAACAACAACAACTCCAGCGAAGGACCGCCCATTTTCAACTTGGCGGTTGCTGCTGTCCTGCTTGCAAAGTACAAAGCAACAGCGGCCAATGCGCGCTCCAGTGGTGAACCAGGACCTCCCCTTCTAGAAGATGACCAGGCGACAGTGGATGGAAGTCAATCTGTGAAACCAACAAAAGTGCTTGGACAACTTGCATATGTCTCCTGATAACTTCCTGCATTTGCATGACATTGTACTTGGGTTTGGACTAAAGGGTACAAGACAGACAGGATCCCTAGAATGTTTAGGTATATATGTGTGGACTTGTGCTCACAACCAGGCATTTCAAAGGAGCAGGGATAGATTCAAACGGTCTTTAGATACATTTAGTAGGAAGGTGAGTTATGTCGCCGAGGTTATGTGTAGGTGCGCAGACTATATTCTTGTTCTAGCTGATAGCACTTATGTTGGAGTGAAATGGACACTTGGAACATATGCACCATTCTTTGATGGATGCATCGGTGCTTTGGATGGCACTCACGTTAAAGTTAAGGTGAATAAGGAGGCCAAAATTGACCATTTAAATAGGAAGGGAGATGTAAGTATTAATGTTTGTGCCATTATCGACATGGATGGCCACTTCACATATGTCGGTGTGGGGATGGCGGGTTCGGTGCATGACATATCGGTCCTGAAAGAATGTTGGGAGGAACCAAACTTCCCGCATCCACCACACGGTGAGTGACGACTGCCATGCTATTATTTGACCTACATTTTTTAGTTGTTTGGGCAGAAAAGAAAAACTAATTGTGCAAATGGTTCATGTGTTGCAGGCCGCTACTATCTGGTGGACGCTGGATACGCACTGGAGTCTGGATACATGGGTCCTTTCAAAAATACAAGGTACCATCTAGATGATTTTAGGGGTGTACCTGTTGAGACTATGTCTCGACAGGAGAAATTTAACTTGACTCATTCTAGGCTACGCAATGTCATCGAACGAACATTTGGGGTTCTGAAAGGCCGGTGGCACATTCTGGATGGGGTACCTTACTGCCATAGGGAGAAGCAAAAGATGATTATTATGTCATGCTTTGCACTGTACAATTATTTGTTCATTCGGGAGCATGGATTTGGATCGCCTACCTACCCACCGTCTGCCTGGGTGGAGCTCAATGCAAGTAATACTATGATAGCAATGAGGGAGTACATATCATTGGGGCTCTGGGGAGAATGATTGTGCAGAGGTGATGTAACTTAGGATGGAAAGTAGGTGAATTAAAGATATATGGGTTGTGGTTTGAATTATATATGTATGATACTTGGTGGTGCAGCTGCAGGTTGCATGTGGACTTGTCCAGCCAAAGACTTGTCCGTGTAGTTTGCTTTGTGGCTTCATGAAGGCTACAAGTTTTGTAAATGTTGCTTGTATACGTAATTGTATACCCTTGGTATCGAATGTTGAACTGGACTGTAATTTGTATTTATGCTTAGAACCTATTGAGGCATGTAAGACCTTGTATGTAAACTTGTCCAATAGTCCAAGTTGAACTAGGTCAAGGTTTGTAATGTATGAAATTGTTGGTTGTAATGAACTGCCATTTCATTTGGTACTAATTAATTGGTTGTAGAACGCTTAGTATGAACTGTTATTTGGTAATGTGGCAGTGGTTGCATTCCCGCCAGAGTTTGAATGGAAATGGACTCTGGGACACAGTTTGAATTGCATTAAATGCTGAGTTTGAATTTGAACGTTGTGATGCTGGGCTGCTGGTTGGCTAATGCTGCTGGTAGGCTAGAGCTGGCTGATTTAGGTTCCTGTAGAATCAGCCAGAAGTATCCCAGGCCGTGTTTAGTTCACGCACCGAATCGGCGCCGCCGAAATTTCGGTGTACTGTAGCTACAGTACCGTTTTGTTTTTATTTGGTAATAATTGTCCAGTCGTTGACTAATTAGATTCAAAACGTTCGTCTCGCAAAGTACAACCAAACTGTGCAATTAATTTTTAATTTCGTCAATATTTAATACTCCATACATGTACCACAAGTTTAATGTGACAGGAAATCTTCTTTTTGCATAGTGTCAAATTCTAGAATTGGGAGTAACTAAACATGGCCCCAGCCGAACAGAGCCAAGAAAACACAGCAGCCCGATTGCAGGTACACTGGGCCGTCTGGGCGGTGGACACTGGACAGGCATGCCAGGGCAGGGAGGAGGAAGGAATAGAGGATATGGGGTCACCTGATCTACCACTGTCCAGTGACCTCAAGCATCCAATGCTAGCTCTAGCTCCACCTCCACGGGGTGTTATGTTCTGTTCGGTCTCATCGGATGTTTAGACATATACATATAGTATTAAATATAGACTATTTATAAAGTTAAATGCACAAATTGAGACTAATTTACGAGATGAATCTATTAAGTCTAATTAGTCTATGATTTGACAATGTGGTGCTACCGTAAACATATGCTGATGACAGATTAATTATGCTTAATAAATTCATCTCGCATATTACTGAAAACTTCTGTAATTCATTTTTTTATTGCTATCTGGACATCCGACGTGACATCTTACTTGAGTCCCTGCATCCAAATACCCCTAAGGTGTGAGTACTCTGTGCTGAGTGTGATAGTAGTAGCTTGGTTGGTAGTGGTAGCGGTGGCATTGCCTGGCTACAAGCCAAGAAAGTTTGTTCTGTCACGAGGAGCTTGTTGGTTTACTTGCAAGCAAGCAATGCTTATGCTTTGCTCCCTCGCAACTCTCACTCTGTAGCCACCACTCCAAGGAAACTACTCTACTACGCCTACAAGGAAATGTGGCAGGTAACTCTCACAAGTACTATACCTGGAAAGCAAATAAAGGGTGGTAAAGATACTTTGATAAGTAGTTTCTAAGCAAAACCTGCGACCAAGCCCAAAGCCTGATTTTTTTAGCCCTTGTTTTAAAAATATTCACATTCAGATCTCTAGAGGTTTTCTTTCATTTTATGGACCTGAGCTCAGCGCCGAGGTTCAAAATCATTTATTGAGTGATGTTGACGTCACTGCTTGCGTGGCGTGGACGTGGCGCCACCTGGCCAGAGCTCGGCGCCAATTGCTTCGGCACCGTGCTCGGCAGAAGATCAGAAACCAAGATCGACAGCAAGACATTACCTTTACCTACCACTTACCAGCTTGAAGATCCATCCTAGGCAGTAGGCACCCACACATACTGTGACGTCACCTAGAATCAATTGCAAGAATACCCAACTCCAGCGTTTCAGAAATATATTAGGGGCACAAGATCTGATGATACTTGTGTACAGTACATTTTTGCAATTCTTAAAGTTAGTTATACAGTAGCAATACAATTGATGAGCTCAACATTGCCACCGAGGGCGCTTCCTCTCATCGATCTGTACAGAATACAAAGCCACTGGTAGGAGGAGATGAAGTTAGTATTTCAAGAAAGATTTTTGGTTTCTAGCAGTACTACGAACAAATTGGATTGCTGAATCCACCCCCCCCCCCCTATTAAGCTAAATCTCCCACTCTTACGATACGAATCCGCTCGATCAGTCCCGTTGCCCGCAGTAGAAGAGAGTCACATCTCCACCGTCCAGTGGATCTTGTCGTCGCGCCGGCGGGTGCACGCGGTCCGCCGTGGCGGCGACGCGCGCGGGGTGCACGGCGCCGGCCTTGACGCCGCCGCAGGGCTCGCTGCCCACGGAGTCGCCGCGGCGGATGTCAGCGGGCGGGATGAAGCAGTCCGTTGACAGGCCCGGCACGTTGAAGGCGGCCTCCTGGATGGTCCACGCCTCCTCCATCCGGGTCTTGGTGTGGCTCATGGCCATCTCGCCGAACCGGAACAGCGTGACGGCGGACCGCCCCGCGTGCGCGATCACCACGCCGCCGTCGTCCACGGCGCGGTAGTCCTCCAGGAAGCTGCTGATGGTGGTCTCCCAGTACACGGCGTCGCCGCCGGCGTGCGGCTGGATGCGGGTCAGGTGCGAGTCCTCCACGTGCACCAGCAGGCCCGTCCGCTGGCTGAAGTAGCCGAACAGCACGTGCCGGATGATCTCCGCCGGCCCCTCGCTCCGCTGCCGCAGCGTCTCCGCGTCCGCGCACACTTTCAGGATGAAGCAGTCCTCGTCGCCCACCTTCTTCTCGCCCACGCACCGCGCCTCCGCGAACAGCCCCGCCGTCGACAGCGGATCCAGGCCCTGGATCGAGGGCGCAAGGCACACAATGGCGACTTGTCGGTTAGCACCAAACCAACCAGTGGGCAGTGGCGGCACTGTCGTCGCCTCGTGGGATTCATTGCTCGGGAAGGGAATGCTACCTGGAGGGCGCGGCGGAGCGGGCGCACGGGGCCCTTGGCGGCGTGCGCGCCGAGCCACGGCGTGTGGCGCCACACGAGGCGGCCGTTGCATCCGGCGCGGACCTTGCTGCCGCCGACGGCGAGCTCCACGTACCACATGTCCGGGGACATCCGCCAGAGCACGAACCCGCCTTGCTCCACGGCGGCGGCGGCGGCGGAGCCCCGGTTCTTCACGACGCGCGTGGCCGTCTCGAACTCCGACGCCACCATCCGCACCTTCCCCATCGCGTACGCGTTCCACACCGACCGCAGCACCTTGGCGCCGCCCGACGCCGCCATGTACTGCTGCAAGATGTACTGCGCCGACGAAGATTCCTGCAAATTGCAATGCGGTAAATAACAGATCGAGCACCGCCGGCGGAGTCAGGACCCAAAACGCTGCCGCGTTTGTCAAAGCCAAGCGCGAAACAGAGGAGATCCAGCCGAGGCGTGTGCACTGACAATGGGGGCGCCCTTGACGGAGAGATGCGGCAGCGGCTCGGCGGCGGAGACCGAGACGGGCGCGAGCGGCGCGCCCATGACGCCGAGGAGGAGGCGGAGGTCGGAGCGCCGAAACGAGCCGTCGCCGGCGCCGCCGGACATCAGCGGGGCACGGGTCAGGTGGCCGCGGACCCACTGCCCGAACCCGTCTCGCCGTCCGGACTCCTCGGCGAACGTGTCGTCCTCGGCGACGTCGGGCCCTTCCATGAGCGGCGCTAGGACCTCGCCGGCAGGCCGCAGGCTGCCGGAGTGGGCGACGAGCGGGTCCGGCGCGTACTGGGCGAGCTCCTCCGGCGGCGCTACCGCCACCGCCACCGCCACCGCCTCCGCCGCCGCCGTCTTGCGGCTGCGCGAAAGCAGCAGCGACTTCCCCCGGGACCTCGCTGGCGAGAGGCCCCGCACGACCTCCCCCTTGAGCGCCGAAAAGAAACCCTGCTTCCTCTCCTTCTCCATTGCCTCCGGATCCCGAAAGAAATGGCAACTAATTAGCAGTAAGGAAAGGTTTGCATCAAGAGAAGGGAGCGGTACGGCGAGGAGTAGTGGAGTGCAAGACTGCAAGTGGAAGGGAAGGGGGAGGAAGAAGCGGAAGCAAAGCGCAGGTTGATGACAAGTGAGGGGTTTGGGGTTTGTGACTGGGACTGGGACTGGGACTGGCTTGGGAGCTGGCTGGGGGAGACGGGGAGTGGGAGAAGAGAACAAAAGATAAAAGAGGGGGAGCAGAGGAAGCCGTTTGGGAGTGAGATCGCAGGCCGAAAGCGAAAGGAAAAGTGGCGAGGTGGGATGTCGGGGTAAAGACAACGGCTGCAAGGGAATGGCTGCTTCCAAGAAAACCACGAGGATTTCCATTAAGATCTACTGTATCTACCCCTTGGCAAATACTCCACTGTCTCTATCTCGAAAACATCCTGAGACTGTCTCCAACGAAGTACCCAAACCATGACCCATCTGTATTTTACGTCATGCACAGTACTTTTACGTGGAAAAATCGCTCTCCAACAGAGTAGCCAAACGCAGCAGGCATTTTGCGTCTGACGATACACGGTACCCAAACTTGCGTCCTCTCTCCTTCCCTTTGCGTCTCCTCCACGTAGGCGGGCCCACCACCACGACCGGAGCCGGGGCTGAGCGCGCCGTGGCCGAGCTCGCCGGGGCCGAGGTCCGCCCGCGCCCGCGCCGGGGCCGAGCTCGCCGGGGCGGAGCTCGCCGCTCGCCGCCAGGCCCGAGGCCGCCGGCTCCTCCGTTGCCTTTGGGTTGGCTGTTGGAGAACGGAAGTTTTGGGTACGCTACCTTTGTACTGTGCATAACCTAAACCACGGTATGGGTATTCGTTTTGGGGCTGCACCGTTGGAGATAGCCTAAAATATAAGTCACCGGAGAGTTAAAATTTGTCTCAAATTATAAAGCGTCATGGTGTCGCCCTCAACCATTGAGATCTATCTCTTGGCAAATTATGCTCCATTCTGAAAACATTCAGAAATATAAGGTACATGTGAACATATGGTTAATATGTGCCTATGTGTGTTATGATAATTGATTATCAAGAGATGATCGGGCTTCGTTGAGTTTAAGACTAACCTAGCGTGAGTATATAGGTAACATGTCGCTTGGGCGTGTTGGTGTGCAAGTGTGGAGCACAGAGACTGTCGACGGCCATAAAAAAGGTCACGTAGAGATGTGCCGTGTCAATGGACTGGTGAAATGTCCTAATATGGCTAGAGGAGGGGGTGAATAGCTTGTTTAAAAACTACAAATCAACTAGAGCAATTTGATTAGTAAGACAAATAGCATAATGCAAACTTGCTCTAGCTCTACAAGGGTTGCAAGCCACCTATTCAACAATTCTAGTAGCAATGATTAATGGGCACACAATCTACTTGATCACTACTCACTAAGAGCTCTCACAAATGCTACACTAAAGAGCTCCACTAGATAAAATTAAAGCACAAGGCAAGCTCTCAATTCTAATTACACTAAAGAGCTTGCTATATCTAGTTTGCGGAAATGTAAATGAGTAAGTGATACGATTATACCACCACATCGGAGAGTGAACCAATCACAAGATGAAGATATGACCAATCACCGGGAGAATACAAATGACAAGAGACAATCGATTTTTCTCCCGTGCTTGCCAACACGCTAGTCCCCGTTGTGTCGACCAACACTTGGTGGTTCGGCGGCTAAGAGGTGTTTCACAAACCTCGTACACACGATTGGACACCGCAAGAACCTACCCACAAGTGAGGTAACTGAAAGGACCTAGGATGTTGCCTAGAGAGGGGTGAATAGGCGTTTCTGAAAATTAACACCTTTAAATGCGGAAACAATTAGAAAGGGGAGTTTCCAAAATGAAAACTCCAAATTAAGAGTACTATCACCCCTCACAAGTTAGCCACAGAGTAAACAAGGTATAAAGAATATATCTTGAAGTTACAACCCTGCAACACCAAGTTAGAACAAAGAATAAATATTTTCAGTGCAAGCAGGAAATACCGGACGTGTTCGGTATGAATACCGGACGTGTCCGGTATACACGATTTCTGCAGATCGGCCCCGAACTTGCTCCTTTTGATTTCTATCTTCAAATCAAACTGCAGGCACCTAATAGAGATGACAATATACACAGAGAACCTGCAGAATAGCTAGAGCAACACAAATATCAAATTAAATATGAATTGAGACACGATATTTGTTTTACCGAAGTTCGGACTCGTTCGAGTCCTACTCTCCGTTGAGGGGGCTGCGGGCGACCCAGCGGAGGTCAGCCCTAGAGGGTACCACGAAGGTCACTCTAGCCGGAGTCTTTTCCAACTCCTTTTCCTCCTTCCACTAATTTGATTTCGAGGCGACGGAATCGACCGTTACAAACTTTCCGAAGCAACCACAATCTCTCGGTTGCTCTCCGGCGACGCCTAGCCGTCTAGGACCGAAGAGTCCAAGAGTAACAAATGCGAATCACGAGATTGACAATATGCACAAGTGCTCAAGTGGTGGCTTGCTCTCTTTTTCAAATTCTCTCTTAACTCACAATTTAATTTTGCAATTTGGATCACACACTCACTAAGAGAGGGTTTAGGAGAGTTGGCTAGGCTCAAAAACATGTGTCTATCTCAGCAGAATCAGCAGCCTCCAAAGGTGGAGGCTTGGGGGTATTTATAGCCCCCTTGAAAAACTAGCCGTTGCAATACCGGACACGTCCGATATGACTTACACTGCGCCAACGGTAACTAAGTTACAGAGAAGTTGTGAGGCGTCGGAACTCCCGATGAATGCCGGAACTCCCGACCGCCGGAACTCCCGGCTCACGTCGAAACTCCCGATCCTCAGCAAATTTGAAAACCATGTAACTGAGTTAAAGAATATGAGGTGTCGGAACTCCCGACACATGCCGGAACTCCCGACCGTCGGAACTCCCGACTTACGTCGGAACTCCCGACCCTCAAGGCTTTGGAAAACTAGCCGTTGGCCTCTGGTCGTCCATACCGGACACGTCCGGTATGACCAGGACAGTTAACCCTCCAAGACAGTTAAAGTGAGACGTCGGAACTCCCAACCTTTGCCGGAACTTCCGACGAACCAACCCGAGAACAACAATTTTACAACTGCTGGGCGAATACCGGACATGTCCGTCCGGTATGGCCAGACCAGCAACAAGTCAGTTAGCTCTTTTGTCTCTCAAACACTCAAATCTCACATGGGTTGGCTTGGGCACTTATGAAACATTATCTATCAACATGATGCATCCCTCTTAATAGTACGACATTCCTATTTACTCAAATTTAAAAGTATAACGAATTTAAACCTTTTGAGCTGCTCTTTTTGAACCGAAGCCGTGTATTCCAATTTTCATCAAGTGAGGGCGCCAACATGTTGATATTGATCTTTTTCACTAGAGCATAGCCATCTTGAGCACGTGACTTGATTCCATTCATCAAATTTGAATAATCCCAAATGTATCAAGTCACTTCTATCAAACACTCCAATAGTGATTTGATCCTTCACATCAATATGACCATCGTAGCTTGATTAGTACCTCAACTAAATGCAAGTACTTTCTTCTTCACCCTAGCTAGGTTCTTCGACCGCCAAGCCGCCGCTTGCCCTTCACCCTTGCTTAGTACCTCGAAGCCTTTCCTTGCTATCTTCACCATCTCAAGCCATCAAGTCACATCTTGTGTTGAATCATCCATTCATTTGTATTGTTGTCTTTTTCATTTCAATTTAGCAAACTTCAAATATGAGACCATTCCATATGCAATCCCTCATGTCTCATTAATTAATACTTAAGAGCTTGCTTTCTCATAGCACATAGAAATCCCACAACAAATAAGCCTTTGCATGAATTCTATTTGCATTGTTGTCTTGTGCTTGAACTAGATTGTTTATACAACAACACATCATTTTGGCTTTCATTAAGTACCTGTGAGATAACCTATCACCTGTCCACACTTAGCAAACGGGTTAGACCTTTAATCACGTTGTCATTCAATCATCCAAAACTCACTAAAGGGCTAGATGCACTTTCAATCTCTCCTTTTTTGGTGATTGATGACAACTTGATTAAAGCTTTAAAAAGAATATAAACATTTAAGCTTTTGGGTTCAATGATTTATGAGAGGCTCCCCCTTAATATGTGCTTGTGATTGGAATTCACAAAATGACCTCAACTTGTCAATTGCACATACTAAAACATATAGGAGACTCCCCCTAAATCATTGCATCCGTGGGGTGCATGTGTGTGTGACAAAATAGAATTGTGATGCATATAACAGGATATATCACACAAGAATAAATATAAAGACATCACATTAAATATTTTCATTCTATCATGCATAGACCTTATGAAAAATAAATACAACACATGTATGCCACACATAGCACTCATTACACATTTTCTCAAGTCCACAAGCCACAGATAATAAAGATCATATCTCAATAGATCCATAGATAAAGCATAAGTGAGTCTCATCTCTCACATGATACAATGCAATCTCAAACTCAAGATACATCAATGAAGCTCATGAACAAAAACTACAGCCTGTAGTACATATCTTCAGGTACAAAGATAAGCAAATGAAACAAAAATCCCGAAGCTTTAATCAGTTTCTCTCCCCCTTTGTCATCTATCACCATAAAGGTCCAACAATGACAAACTAAGGACAAAAGGGGCTGCAAGCTGTATCTGATCTCTGGCATCACTCAGCATCATCATCATCATCTCTCCCAGCATCTTCGTCATCTGAACGTGTAACACCAGCTGGACGAGAACCACCTGCACCGGACGGGTCATAGCCACTACACCCGTAGTAGCCGCCACCACCTGTGAGGTCACTCCACCAATCTGTAGCATACTCATCTGCAGTACTAGGACATGGCTGAGAGTGAGTAGGCACATGAGCTTGAAGTGGAAGAGTGTCAGGGTGCTGTGGTGCCAGCTGCTGCTGCTGTCGCTGAAT